TAAAAGGCACACAAGTGGTTGCACGGGGAAGGGAGGTGACCAGCTGTGGCAACCTGGGGTATGGACACATGGTGGGGGGAGGGGCAGGGTCCTAACCAGCGGGGTGGGGCAGCCTCTGGGACCTCTGAGGAAGAGACCTCCTTGTGGGCAGTATGTATACCCTCTTACAGAGATCATTGAACATTAATAGTTCCCACAGCGAAACGGCCCTGCTTTTCTGGCCAGAATTTTAGAATGAGCTCCCTTTAAAACGATTTCATTATTTTTAATGCCTTTTTTTTTTTCTTAAAAAAAAAAAAAAAGACTAATCACTGACAATGAGAAGAGTTTAAAATAGAATTTTAGGCTTCCAGATTTTAATGGCCCTAGAAAAACGCCATTGTTAACAGAGAAGCAGCTGCATACGTCTAAAAAATCACTTTGAGATTTGGCAGGGTTTCTTAAGAAACTTGAGGCTCAGCAAAAAGTTAAATAAATTATCCTTGAAAATGTCCCAAATGCTTAGGAACTAACTTCCAAGGGAATTTTGTCCATTCAATTAACCATGTAACACCAGCTTCCTAACAGCAAATTTACAGAATGGACGTTTTCCATATTCCACGAATGCACAAAGCTAGAGCTACCAGCCACAGTAGCCAGCAGACAGCCCAGTTACGGCGCCGACTGCCTCTCCTTCTGTCTTCCTTCCAGTGGAAGACTGCGACAGTGTGATATTCGGTGTGATATCATTCAGGGGTTCCCAACCCCGGCTTCATGCGGGAACCTCCAGGAAGCAGTAGATCAAGCCATGCTTGGGTCCCACTGCACACAGACCAGTCTTCGTTGGGGTGGGGGAGGGTTACGGCACCAGGATGTCCGCGTTCCCCAGGTGACTGTCTTGTACAGCCAGAGGTGGGTACCGCAGGGGCAGACGGTGACGTTTAGCAGATCAGAGAGAAGAGATGAGATGTACGCATGCCCAAGCCCTGGATTTGGCATCTGCTCTCTGACAGCAAGCACAGACAAACCGCCAATGGACGTTGAGCCAGAAAGCTGTGCCTCGCTACCTTCAACATGACCAACCGGTCAACAGGTTTCTTTTCCATCAATACTTAGAACCTCACAGTCCCTGAACAGGAAAGTACAGGGACGTGGTCCTAAAAGGGGTCCTTAGCCTGAGGTTGGTTAGAGGTCTAGTAGGATCTGCGAGAATTGCTGTGTTTAGGTCAAGTTACCCTGTAGTCTGATAACGGCATCAGTACCAAGTACTCCTGTGGCTACAGTGACTCCTGCCACGAATCAAACTTTAATCCTCAAGACAACCTGTGGGCAAGTATCTTTTTCACCTTCTTGCAGTCAGGGAAATGGGGGCTCAGAGACATCGGGTCGTTTGCCTATCACTCAAGTCCAAATTCCGAGTCACAAAACTCAATGGCAGCCAGTTCCAGAGAAGGGACACCCACATGCTATTTAGCCCCACCTCCAAAGGCCCATGACATCTGCAATTCATGTTTCCTGAGGTCCCGCCTTTGCTTGTACAGCCTGAGGCTTGGCTATAGCAACGGCTTCCTGTCACACTGTCACCTAACTCCCCCATGCCTGGAAGGAACCTGTCTCAATCCCATCCAGGACCCAGCTGGAAAGGGCAGTCAGTGGCGAAAGCATCCCGAGGCAGCATGGATAAAGCCAGGATGCCCAGGAGTGCCCCATCCCGTCTCCCCAAAAAAATACAGGAGCAGGGTTGGGATGTTAAGAGTGTGGGCCTGGCTCTTACACACCCGGGAAGCACGTCGGCAATGGCCCTGCCCACGCAACACTGCTTACTACCAGGTGGCAGAGACCAGGCCTGGCGTGTGCGGGCGGTGAACCAACCACTGTCAGCTGGTGAGGGGATGATGCAGGCCTTATGGAAATCCTCTGTCCCCCTTGGGTTTCTTGCTGTGACAGGAAGAAGATGGATAGGAAGAAGAAGACAGCTCTCCTTGGCCAAAAGGTCTGGGCTGCCAGGAGTATATTCGAGGAGACCCACATCCTCATCGGGAGGAGACCTGGGGCTCTCATCATCGGTCGGTTAACTCCCTGCATGGTTCCCACAGCCTGAGATCTAGGACTTCCTTTCAGACCCTCATCACCCATGTCCTGGGAATCTGGTGGTTCAGGAGATCAGAGCCTCACTGTCCAGGAAAGCGTAGCACCTGGCCAAAGGAGCCTGGTAAAGGACAAGGGTACCCACAGAAGCATGTGCTCTTCAGGATCGAACATCCAGCTGGTTCCCAGGCTGAGCCACACAGCACCGTGCCCAGCACAAACCACAGGGACATGGTGCGGCGTTACCGGGTGAGGAGTCCTGGTTACAAAGTGAAGTCTGAGGATTGACAACTTTCAAAGGGTCGTTGTTTCTTTCCTTGATTATACTACTGAGCAAAGCGCTTCAGGGCTTACAACACTGATCACCTTCTGTACCTCGCTTATGCCATTTCTCCAGCCTAAGAAGTGCTCCCCTCTCCCCCGTGCCTTTGGAAGCCGCAGGCAGTACCTCCCTGGAGTTCAGCAGGAACGCCACCTCCTCCAGGGAGCCTCCCCTTGCATCCTTGTGCCCTTGCAACGATGTGCCCGTCGTTGCTTTGTTGTGCCCTTCAGGACACCCACAGCAGACTGCTGGCCCCCTGATCACAGGGCCAGCTTGTCCCCATCTTACACTAAGGCCCAGCTTCTCCATCTTCCCTCTACAGCCAGGTTTCCAAAGGCAGAGGCACAGAGTTTTGTCACAATGTGGCCGGGTCCTTCACACATGCTGGCAGCACCGGAAGTATTGGGCCAAGACAAAGTGAGCGAGAGCTCTGGGGACTATCAGAAGACATTGCCTCGAGCCCACAGAAAATGCCTACTCCTCAAACCCCAGGCACAAGCACAGTCTCACCACACCTGATGCTAGCGGTACGAATGGGGACCCCGTCCATTTCCAAAGCCGGGGCACTGAAGGGGTGAAAAGACACCGCCTGAAAGGCTCACCCAGCAACCCGTCAGCCACAGCTCCACTGGTAAAGGAAGGGGGCGTGCTCAGGAGAAGGACCAGTACTTGTGCTGGCTGACACATGACATGCTACACTGGGAGAGGGAGGACGTGGCTGGCAGACACCCCCCCCCACACACACACCCCACCCCCACCCCCGGAAACCAAGGTCAGCACCCAAGCTACAGTCTGGAAACGAGCAGGGAGACAGTGGGGTAGGCATCCCTCCTGCTCCAAGAACAGCCTGTTGCCGGCCATATGGTAGGCGCGGAAGCCGCAAGAAGCCCATTGGGATTTGGACTCAAATGCCCTGAAGACACAGACACCCTTCTTACACCCACTGACCCAGAAGACACCACCCAGTTTGGAACTGGAAGGAATACCCCTGCATGAACTCCCACCTCAAAGTCAGCACACAAAGGCTGCTCTAGAAATCCTCCAGCAGCTTCCTGATGCTCAGGCACTGTGTCCCCCGTCTCTTCCTCAAGGGAGCAGCACCAGTGACCCTGGGAAGCAGCAGGGAGAGGAGAGGAGGAGTCTGTCTGCCCATTGCTGGCCCCCCAGGAGCCCACAGGACTGAGTCCATCATTTGCAGCTGTGAGAACAGGAAACTCACACTCCCAATGGGAGCACAGACCCAGAGTCCTCAGCTAGAAGCAACCAAAGGCCACCTCAGTCACCCGTGGGCCGCTCGGCCTTCACTTGTGTGATCCGCTGTCTACAGAGGAGGCACATACTGGCCTCACCCGCCCAGCCTCCCTGCCCCATCTCCCCAACCAGCCGAATGAATGAACCTCCCCCGGTCCCTCCTCACACCTCTGCCGTGTCTCAGAAGGTTTCTCCTGACACTGACCGACCTCAGGCTCCTCCATCCTTCCAGGCTCGGGGCCAATGCCCCACAGCTCCCCGCTGGAGCCCCACAGTCGGCCCTCAGCCCCTCAGCACTGGGCACACAGATGCCACCCCTCCCGACCTGCATCTCTGTCCCCCTGGGCAGCATCTCAGCATGCATAGGCCTAACCATCCCCAGAAGGAACAAACCACATCCCGTCCACCTCAGGAGTGCCCCTGGCAACCAGCGCCCTCCTTGCTGGATGAAGGAGAGACCGCATGACGCCTCAGGGGCCCTGCCCTAGGGGAGCTCGCTCCGCCATCTTCCAGGAGGTGGGGCCCACCTTGGTTCCCCAGGCCTCTCAAGGGACACGCGTCTTTGACACAACTTTTCCGTCCTCACAATGAACTATTCTGGATTAGAAACAAACCACAAGCCTCTCAGTCAAATCTACTATTGAATTTTGATTTCTGCTTTTACCTGACGCACAGATAGCCCAGGAAGAGTGTGAGCTCCTCTTTGGGGGAAAGTAGGTGGTAAAAGAGACACCTTGGTTGACGATGGTAATGAACTCCAGGGGCTGCTGGGCACCGGGCCTTCCCACTGCGGAATGTGCCCGAGAGGCCTGGTGCCATGGTGGGCTACGAGGGGAGCGAGCTCCAATTAGCCACGCCAACTCACATGTGTCCTCGCCCTGCCCGGACGGCTGAGCTGGTTTCTTCCCAGCTAACAACGGGCTGAGCGCCTAGCTTCACGTGTGGAGCCCGGGTACGAGCCACTCCAGGTGGCATGAGGACGGAGAGGGACCCTGCTCTTCAAGTTCTCATCCAGGAACATGGCTCACCCCACAGGGAAGGAGCTGCAGCTCCCGTGCCGTGGGGTCACCGTGAGTCCTACCATGGCTGGCGCCCCCACAGAAGGGGGTCTCCGATTTCCCGACAAGCGATTGCGGCGGACCCCGTGACCGGGCACAAATCTGAGTCCCAAACCTCGGGCGGAGTCTCAGAGCCAGTGTAATTGCCCGGGTCCCCTCTGACGGGCGGGCGGAAGGAACCGGGCCACTAAGGAGGCCGCTTGTCTCTCAGGCCGGGTCAAGGGGGAGCAACAGCTCTGCCCGGTGGGCACCTGAATCACCCCTGAGCGCTCTCTGGTCAGGAGTAGGAAGGGGTTACATACTGTTTCGTTTGCTTTCCTCTCCTCCTTCCTCCTCGTTCTCAGGATCAATGTCTTCGGCTTGGGTGATCCAGTCCAAGTAGCCCTTTAGATCCTCCTCCAGCTGCTGCTTCTCCCGGAGCTTCTGGAAATCTCCCCGGGCTTTAGCCTTCTCTCGCTCCTTTGAGAATTCTCTGAGGGTGGCAGAGAGAACAAGCACACGTCAGGACATCCTCGGGGACCTGGACTGTGAGCCATCTGCCCTGCCACACAACAGGCTTGTGGCAGGACACACAGCGCTGAGTACGGCCACGCGAGCACAGCAACAGAGGCCACACACGTGGACAGGACATAGCACAGTGTCTTCCTAAGCAAGACCGTGGCTGTCAGAGCTGCAGAGACCACACCAACACACACGCGCTGTCCCTTAGAAAACCAACAATCCCCAAGATCCCAAGGAGCCCAGGCCCAAAATGCCACGTACTATCGTGGCAGGCTTGCTGACTGACTCCCACCCTCCCCCACCAGCAGCCTGGACTCAGACATGTCCCACCTCCACCAGAGCCTCCTCGGAGGGCGGGCATCACATGTCAAAAAGCAAGGACCCAGGAGGGCTAGGCTGTGGTCAAAGAGGGCACACACCAGGTGTAGGGCTTCTTCAATACTTATAGCCAAACACAGCATTCCTGGCCCTCATGTCCAAACTGAGAGCCAGGAGGGGGAGCACGTGCCTCTAGCAGCACCAGCAACTTCCCGCCAGAGCAGTGGACAGGGTTGGGACAGACCCACCTCACAGCCCCGTTCTCCCTCCCCACACAGAGAACAGAACACCGAGGAAGCACTATTGTCATCCCCAACCCCGCTTCCTTGCCATGATCTTTTCCCAAAAGTCTTCACCGTAGGAAATGAAGAGGCAATACAATTTGTTGCCCATTTATGGGAACACCTGTCCTGGAAAGGCTTTGGCAGAACATGTACACACTCCCAACTGCTTGCTGTTTACTCCGCCTTTGGTGTCTGCAATCCTCCATCTACACGTACATACAGAATCCCCCATTTGCTCAGGCAAGCCTGGGAGTCAGGTGGGTGATTACCCACTTTTCACATCCAAGGAACCATCTGCATTTCCGACCGGGAATAGCTACAGGAGCCAAGCTACATGAGTTATGGATTTCCTAAGTACGATTAAAAAACTGCTAAGGAAGCAGATGAGATAACAGCACAGCTTCCGCACACACAGCCCTGGATTCTAACAGAGGTTATATCTGTCCTCCTTCTGCCTTCCTTCTAGCCCAAAGATGGCACATCTCCCTATCAGGGACTTCTTTAACTCAACCCAACTCAATCCAACTCGACCCAACACAATGCAACCCAACCCAACCCAACCCAACCCAGCTAACCCAATGAACGAAGGGGGAAATTATCTGCTTACATAAGCCCAACCCCTCTTCTCTCTCTTCTATCTCCCTCTCCACTCTGGTCTGTCAAAGTGCTGAACAGATACTTGAAAGCCCAGGGATGCTGATACTTCAGATAAGAAACTAAAACCCTCACCAAGGTGCCACCCTCTGCCCAGTGAAAAAGGACGACACTCATCGCTCCCCAATCACCCACATTTTGGATGCCCCAGAAGCTGTTGTTGGCTGTGTGAGGGCTGATCCATCCCCACCTGCCCCCTCTGGGAAGTGGGGGAGGCAGGGCTACAAGGCATCCTGGGCCTGGCCTGTAGAGGATATGACCTCAGGGGGTTTGCAGGGTGAACCAAAGACTCAGAGATGTTTTCTGCACTCCTCACCCAGGGCCCTTTCCTCCAGGGAGAATCCCTGTCCATCTCCTGTAGGAGGGGCAGGGTGTTGCTGCTCAGGCGAACCACATCCTCAGGAGGATGAGGGCCTGCCAGGCCTGCTGGGCTTCCCAAGGACACGGTGACTCGGGTCTGGGTAGGTTCACCAAATTAATTTGAGTTTTAAAAAAAGTCACACCCGATCCATAATGACATCCCTGAAGGATGTAGTGGAGGCCCTGGAGGTTCATGTGGCAACATGAAAATGCATCACGCCATCTGTTTTCTTAAATGCATCGTAAAAAGCAACTATGTGGGCCTCATTTCAATTGTTCACCAGAAGTATCTAAGCCCAAATCTCTGTGTTTTGATTTTGAACTTGGAGTACGAAATTTACATGGTTATGATAAAAACAGGGTATTCTTATTCCTAGATCCATAGTTCATCTGAGTTCTTGAAAAAGATTACGAAGATAGTAAGAGAGTTACCTGAAAACCCAAGGGCTTTACAAAAGAGAATTTTGCTTTAAAATATTTTATGAAGTTTTTGTTTTTTGTTTTGCTTTCTTTGCATTAGAAATTAAAAAAGAAAGAAAAAGAAAGAGAGAACGCTAACAAGCGGTACCACTGTTGCCCATTCTTGGTTGCTGAGACATGGTAACACATGCACTGGTAAAATCCTAGTATGAGTACAATTTCTGAGAACAAAAACCTGGCTTATGGCCCATTTGTTTTAAATAACAGTCACTATCACACAACTTCAAGTGACGAAGTTGTTCATGTGAGCACTCAGAACCGACTGAAGCAGTTTCTGAATGGCCTAATACTCAGCAGGCAGGCAAGATTTGCTGATTAGAAGGAACAGAGATTTGCAAGCATGAATCTCCCCCTGGTGGCTCTGAGACAGGCTGGGGGGAAAGACGCATGGAGGGGGTCCCTGTGATGGACCTGTAGACCACCCTGGGCTCTCTGGTGGAAGACCTGGATTCTAGTCCCAGATCTGTCACTGGTCTCTTCTGAGTTTCGTTTTTCTCAGCTGCAAACAGACATAAGACCTGGTCTACTGTTTCACAGAGATTAAGTAAGACAATACTGTGGAAATCACAAAGCGTTGGACAAATGTGAAGCTGAAAAATAGAATATTTACATTGAATCTGGACATGAAAAAGGCAACAGGAGGAGCTTTCTCCAATACTAAAGGGGGGAAAATTGCCAAGAGCTCTGAGCGGGCTCTGAGCTACACGATCCCAGCAGAACTGAGAGAAACACAGGACACATAGGATCCTAGGCTCAGAGTGACCTCCATGAGCCAGCCAGTGCCTCAGTAATCCTGTACCACTCTCTGCCCCATTGGAAATAACCCAGTCCCATCTTGACAAACCTTCCACTCCAAAAAAAATCCCACCCAAGTCCTCCGAACCTTCCATCAGCCTCAGTGGATGAAGAAAAAAGTTCTTCATTTTGCATGAGAACTTGTCATTTTCAAAGCTTGTTACTAAGGGACTGAATAATAGTCACTACTACAAAAGTTGCCTTTAAACAGCTATTGGTAGAAACCATCTGACTTTTTACAAATGACTAGAAATCTAACAACTCAGCATGTGACAGAAGCCTACTGGTTCCAGATCAGAATTCTATTTATGATACACTCAATCAAAGGAAAAAAAAATATAAGAAGGGCTTTGACAAAAAGGCACCTGGTATTTTATCCTTTATGTATGAAAAAAGGGGTAATAAGAAAACATGCATATTACACTTCAGGGTGTATCCAAAAGAGAAAGCAGAAAATGCAAAATGGGGGCCAATGGAAGGGAGGGGACAAAACAGGAGGGACCCTGTTAAGTGTAATTTTATAGTTTTGACTTTCGGGACCATGCTAATGTTCCACAAATTATAATTTCTTAATTAAATCACCAAGGACGGGTTGGAGGGAAAATACCCCTAAAGTGGAATTGAATTGAGACAAAAGAATCTGATTGTATGTCAAACGAATACCATAGCTATCCTGAAGAGAAAGACAAAACTAGCTCAGGTACTTTAGGATCCCTTGACTGCCTGCTCTCAGCCTTGGATAGGACCAAGTGAGGGAAGAACAGCAAATAAATGCTAAACTCCTTCAGGGAGTTTTGTGTTTGGTAGTGCTATGGGCAAAAATAGTACTGAAATCATTTCAGATGTATTATAGGACTCAACAAATGAGCAAATGTGTCCATGTTGTTGGGAGTCAAGGTTTTCGCTGTAGACAGAGGGTCTTAGAAACATGAAAGAAAGAAAGACTGAAAGGATCCTCTAAGGATGGACTAGAATGGGAGGTGTTGGTGGGAATTCATGATTTCTATGTATCTGTAAATACGTGTATGTATATGTACATATAAATGCACTTATTTCATAGCTCTGTTGAAAGGATATGGAAGCAAAGGCACCCCAGTAGTTATGAGCACATCTGGCACCCAGGCTTCGGTCTCTAATACCATTTCTATGAAAAGGAACCAGAAATCTTGGGTAAAACGGCTGATTCGAGGGCCAGAGTAGAGTAGGTACAGGATGAAACAAGTAAGGAAGTACCAAAAATAAATAAATAAAAACTAAAAGCAAAACAAAAGTATGATAAGAGCATGCCATAAGGTCACAGGAGCCAGGGAAGTATCTCACACTGGCTAAATCTAGGATAGTTTGGGCCCCAAAATAATGAGAAACAGAAATTAAAATTTAAAAAAATCAGTCCACACTTGTAATAGACAGATAAATGAAAAAACAAATGAACTGATCATTGCTAGAGGAGAGGAGAAGTGGGGTGGTAGACAACATGAGTGAAAGGGAGTGGGAGATGTAGGCTTCCAGTTATGGGATGAGTAAGTCATGGGGATACAAGGTATAGCACAGGGAGAGAGTCAATGCTACTGTGAGAGCAGTGTACAGTGACAGATGGTGACGATGCTTGGGGTGAGCACAGCGTAATGTATAAACTTGTCAAATCACTATGTTGTATGCCTGAAACTAACGTAACACTGTGTGTCAACTATACTCAAATTTTTTAGAAGTACAAAAACAAGCAAAAGCAAATGAGATAAAATATTAATAAGGGAATTCAGGTAAAGGGTACATGGATTATTCACTATGTTAATCTGATTCTTATAAAGTTTTCTGTACTTTGAAATTACTTCCAAAGAGAAAGAATTTTCAAGCTTTGGGAAAATGTAACCAGGGTAACCAAGTGCAAATTTACGTCACGTATGCATTTCTGGTTCCCAGCTAGACTGTAGGCTCTTCCCAGACGGACAATGTTGTCCATCTCTTATGTTTTCCTTTCCACGTCTCTGTCTCTCCCAAGATGTCCCCCCCTTCCAGTAGGCATGTGGGAAAGTCTGGATACAAAGCACATGAAATGAGCCCCATTCCTTAAGAGGCCAGA